ATTTATACGTGTATTATTTACTCTGAAAATTTAAGGTGGTTTTAATTTGATTCCTTTGCCAGTTTTAAAGAATTTAATATTGATAAAAAAAAATTCAGAAACATTGATATAGTTAATCTTGAGTAAATAGACTACTGCATGTATCATTCTCTTCTTTTTATTCTATTTATCATATACTCTTGTACGTAGAAGAAAAGAATTTAAAAAAGTATGTACATTGAATCAGTACAAAAAGATAACGTTTTTATCCATGCTCTGATTTGAGATTTTAAAAAAAATACTTCTTTGTATCAGCTAATATGAAATGTCTGGAAAATGAGTTATTAAATTACAGAAATCAATCACTCGACTTTGAATATTTCTGTTGTATTTCCTTAGAAATTTAATAATTAAAAATATTTATAATTACTGTTTTTTTAATACTGCAAGGCTATGAGACGTGTTCATCTGTTAGAAATTATCTGAATACCTGAATTTGTTAACATCGTTTAATTGAATATAAGAACAGTTTTGAAACAAGAAATCAGTTTTTTTTTTCAGTTCTAAGTGAACAAAGATTTTTTTTTTTATTTTTGAAGATGTTTACTCCTTCTAGGCGCCTGATCCTACCTCTGGAATTTCCAAGAATACGTATTTTATGCCCTCTTCACATATTTGTATCGTATATCGTATATAGATTTTTTTTTTCGATCGCTCACTATTTTCTATTTTTTCCTTTTATATTGTAGTACACATTCTTATTATTTTATTGTATGCTTTTTTATATGTGAACTGTGATATTATTTTTGGAATTTTCGTAAGTTTGTTTATTTGATTTTTTCCTTTGATGCACATTTTGCCATAAACTCATAATTGATAAACTGTCATATCTACCCAGTAATCTACACTTTTTATTTTTGTAACTTGAAGAGAGACAACATTGTTTAAAGTTATATTTTCCCAAAATTGCTTTCTTGTATCTGCATATTGATTAGGAGTACTATATAAGCAACTTTTTGGTCTTTTATTGTTCCATTCATGTACAAATATAAGAAAGTTTATTTTGATAATTTAGATTTACAATATTAATAATATGAGAGAAAAAAGAGAAAGAGAGAGTAAAAGTGTACACTTTACATTGATATAACTAATATTTTAAAAATGCAAATTCTAAAGTGTTATTTAAAATTTTTTCAATGCCATTTTATACATCTTTTTGGTTAAATGCAGCAATGGATTAAAATTAAAAAAAAAGAATTTTGTTTCTTATAGCACATGTTAACATTTTCTTTTTGGTTGTGCACAACATGTATTTGTTAGTGTTAAGATTTTGTTGTACGGTTGTAAATATGTGATCCCTTTATTATCTTCCTAGAATAGAACGCTTCTTGAGCGGCAAATTCTGTCTTATCATAGAATAACAACTGTATCCTTTTTGTTTGAAAAACAACTTCTTTTCTGTTATGTTAATTTGCAAAAAAAAAAGTTTCATTTCTTTTGGATATATTGTTTTGTTCCTCCCATATGATTATTATAACAATGTCCATTTTTGCTTTGAAAGACCCGAAATAAGTGTCAAATCAAAAAAGTAAAATAAGAAGTGCACAACTGCATCATGTAATAATAATAATATCTGTGAAAGTCTCGTTCAATTTTATTCAGTGGTATAGGGAGAGGGCGGATAAGAGATGGATACCCTTTGATATTACAGAAAGAATGACAGTGTCCATGTTTTGCTATGAGAAAACAAAAATATATGTCGGGTCAAAAACTAAAATAAGAGGTGTACAATGGCATTTTGTAACAAAGATTCTTTGAAAGTCTCATTTAATTTCATTCAGTGGTATAAGAGGAGTTGCGTATAAGAGATGGGTACCCCTAAAGCGTAACAGAGGTTCGGACATACAGATGGACGGACGGACATCCCGATCTTTATTTACCCTCTCACTTTTCAGGCAGGGAACAATAATACTTAATGGACAAGACATAAGAGAAATGTAAAAGATAAGTTAATCTATTTAATCTGAGCAATGCGTTATTGATGTTTATTTATTCCAAATCATGTTTGTCCTTTTGATGTGATAGCCACAGTCATTGCAAAAGAATGCTCTCACTCAATGTCTGTTTCCTGGAATTGTGTTTTGATTACAGTGTACTACATTAAAAACATTATTTTGTCCTCTTCGGTTTCTTTACACCACTATTTTGTTAAAATTTCATTGCCCATTCAGAATTTCATTCCCATTTTGATCGGGGACTCTTAAACTGACATTGTTAATTCAGAGTTGGTATTACTGGACCAATATTGTTAATTTCATAACTTAAATCACTAATTAATGCATTCTAAAATACCAACTGTTTATTTTTCAATGAATCAATCTCTGGCTCTCCACCTGGAGGTAAAATGTATGAGATTATATAATTATGTTTTACAACAACTCCGTACCAAAGTAGTTTTCTGAACAAAAATCAGGAAATTCACCCACGCATTTTTCTGGAGTTATGCATAATTTTCATCATAATGAAGGATCAATTATTATTACTAAGAGGGTGTGGATTACAATTTTTAGCAAAATTTCGCTTCCTTCCATTCATTCTTCAAATTAACAGATAATGATTTTACTAAATGGTGCCCTTTGCAACATTGTGCTAACTTACAGATTCACAAATGTCAGAGATTTAGATAATTTTTAACAGATGGACAATATAATTTGCAATAAATGCAAATGAAGATCTCTTAATTTGGAATTAGAGCGCCATCAATTCATTCAGATCTGTGTAATTTTTTACAGAGGTCATGAATTAAGAGAACTATGAAGGATGTTTTACAGTTGTATAGGGTAAAATAGTAATTCTGTATAAAATGGAATTGTATCAAAATTTAAAAAGTATTTGCACTAGTCCGAAAATTTGTTCTCCTTTTATGATGACTATTAATTATTTCATATATTTTAACCCAAATGTGTTTGATAAGAACAACCTTCTATGTTATAATCTATAAGGTCCATTAAATAAGTATTATATCATTTCCATGTCGTGTTTAGCGGGTTTAGACGTGGGGTGCTGACAGCCATTCCGGGAGGGGAAAATCCAATGCTTTATCACACTGTCTGTTTATGTCTGTGGCATAAACATGCCTATAGTAAATCAAGGGCGCGATTTTATCGTGTTCAAGACTGCTCTACAAATGTTGTTCTAGCTTTATTTAGTAGGTAAAATTTATCAAAGGAATACCTTTTGAGAAAAAAATTATTAAATTATAAGAGGAAAAGCTCTTCACTTATATAAAAAATAAAGGATTTGAATTTTAAAAAGAGCAATAAACAAAAAAGTTTGTGAGATGTATAAATATAAATTAATCCAAAAAGTAATTGTTATTATATTTTTGAGAAAAAAATGTCATGATATGGGAAAAAATAGTTTCATACTTTTATATATGGATAAACATTCACAACATTAATGTTTGTAATTTTCTCAATCCAATTTATTTTTTTAAATGTCAATATATATGTATATGAAATTATTATTTCTGGGAAAATCTTCAGTTTCGGAACTAATTCAGATGCTCGATTTTTCCTTAAAAGCAGGGATTACCAGTTGAATTATTGTATTAAAAACAGAATAATAATAATACCATCAACGTTTCAAAAATGTTATTGTTTAATACATGGTGTACAATTAAAAATGTTAAATTTTAAATTATAAAGATTGTTGAAACGTGTAATTCTAACTATGCCTGACAATCAACGTTTGATTGTTTGTGATATAGATTTACTTGCTTTTTTATAAAAAAAAAAAAAACGATTATTATATTTATGTAGTAAATAAAATCAAAAAAATAACGCTCATGCATGATTCAATTCTAAAATATAATAATTATTTTTTCTTATCATTTTTCTTTGTTTTTTAAAAAGAATGTATTTTCAAGAATAAAGAGAAATTCAATAAATATCATAATGCTTCCCACGATGACCAGAAAACCATTGTCTGTTCTTTGAAATATTTGTGTAAAAAATTTTATGAAAATTGCAACAAAGTGTTATTTTACAAAAACTTCTCTCTTCGTACCAGGAGAACCTCTATCCATTGCATGTTTTTAAATCTCAAGATAAGTTCAAAGACAACATGTGAATGATGAGGCGAAGAGTTGTAAGCATACAAATTCTTATCTCAAATATATCAGTTACGCTGATATTAAATTCTAAAAAATAAAATCAGATATCAAAATAAAGTAAAAGTAAACATTAGTTTCAGTTGCGCTTTATCATTTGATCTTTACTCAGATTTACTATTCCTAAAGCATGTTGTTATTTCACGTAATAGGGTGTATCTCGATCACACACACAAATTTAGTTGTTAAATGTTAGATTTATTATACAAACATCTAAGAAATCTAAGAAATGATCTTAAAAAACACCACCTTAAATTTATTTGAATAACTAAAATTACAAAGACCTAAATAACTTGTTAAATTAGAAATTATCAGTTTTGCCTAGCAATATTAAACGAAAAATGTTTCATCAACCGAAAAACTCAGATTTTAATTTTTGTTACTGTTATAATCCAATAATATGAATTAAAATATTTAAAATATTAACTTTACATTTGAAAATACGTTTGGTTGTTTTGAAATTCCTAAACTAAGTGTGTTTTCATTAAACTGTAAACAAACCATAATTGCTCATGAATATGCAAGGGATGTATATCAGTTGATGTCGGTGTTAAACTGCATTTAAGTTTTTAAATCAAAACCTGTGAAAATGTAGTCCTTCATAAAAATAGTAGACATCATATAAAAGCAAAAAAAAGTTTAAATATTTTTCATTTCATCATAACGGTTTAAAATAAAATTAAATACTGTATTTTTCGCAAGCACTCCTTGTATAAACCAAAGCTGGTAAAACTAATATGATGAAATATGTTGAGATTTAATACGACGCAGTAAACCAAAACTGGGTTTTCATAAAACTTGATAAATTAAGAAATTTACTATAAAATCAGATTAAGATGAAGAAACTTACCAGATTCATTGGGTGCATGAACGCCGGTTGTACGGGTTCCTCATCTTCGCTGGTTAATACCTGACGTAAATGAGCTATGTAACTAGAAGCCAAACGAAGAGTATCTAATTTGGAAAGTTTGGTATCAGCTGGTACCCATGGTAAAGTTGTTTTTAATTTCACAAATGCTTTACTTAACACTCGCATTCTAGCTCTTTCACGTGCATTTGCAGCATTCCTTTGGATTGGTTTATGAAATTTTCTGCCACCTTCACTTGAAAAATCTTCCTCATCGTCACTTAGGATTTCTTCCTTCTTCCGTCGCGGCATTTTAGGGAAGATTTTTTTAATTCAAATTCTCCCTCGTTGTTCTTATTTATTTTGTCACAGAACGCTTTTTTGTCAATATTACATGTGCGATCTCTCGATGTCTTCGTTTTCTTCCCCGCTGAGTTTTGCGGTGATTTGATAAGGCGGCAAGCTAAAGTAAGCAAAGGGATATCCCTTGTAAACTTAGCATATATAAATGATCCATAGTTTATTTTATAAGAAATCCAGTATACATTAGGCAGAATCCATCAGCACAAGAGTGTGTCAAAATTGACGACTGATCCATGAACCCATGTCACGTGACATGACGCGCGACGAAGACCGTCCAAAATTATTGGTTGCTTCCTTGACATATAAACCAGTATATTTTCCAACTTAATTAGCTGGGAACTGATAATTTTCTTTTAGAGTTTGATAAAAAGCCCATTTCAACTAACCCGAGAGCGGCATAGTTTGTCACTGGACAAACCGCCCGAAAGTTTGTCTCGTCATATTAATATGCTTATCGTAATTGCCGCTTTCTACGGAACTTTATTGTCGATTATTCCCTACAGACTCAGAAGATTGGGTTTTAAATATTATGTTACACAAGCTTTCGATTAATAAGACATCCAGGATTATTTTTTTTACCTCCAGTATACATGTTGTTCTTTAAGAGGTAGAATAATTCCCTTCGCTTATTTCAACCAATATTAGAAAAATCTAAAAGACTATTTATCAAACTGATAATAAACTGTTGAAATGATATCTAGAGAATTTGATTATTATTCTTTGATCGAACCTAATGCAGACTAAGATATGAGTAATTGGAGGACAAACAGTGCAGCCCTGTCTAGTTAGCATAACTGCAATATTTGACACAGAAATTGGCTCGCCTTTAATCATTGGTCATTTGATGCCTTCATTCCTCTCCAGCAGGAAAAAGTCTTTCATCTTCTAGCACCTGTATTCTGTGAATATTCTGTTTTTCCTCAAAGGAAAGTTACAACAGCTCTTGCGATGACAAAGCTTACTTTGCGGATCATCAAAAAACGATTAAACAAATTAATCGCAAACAAGTGTACATGTGTTTTTTGGCCTTACAAGTGTTACCCTTGTGATTAACGCGCGAAGTACTCTACATCAGCAGTGCTCTTCATTAATAAAGAAGAAAATGAGTCAGGTAGCCCGAAGATCCCCTTCTTGCACTTGTAAGCTTCCGGTCCAAAAATCCAATGTCTGTCAAAACAGATGAAAATATTAATTCACGGTAATGTTGGAAGGAAGCTAGATTACTTGTAATACATTTTAATTATAGAATATTCTCTGTAATTTGCATCACATTGTGCTTTCAACGCGCTAAGAGACAGCGATAGTTTGGTTCTGGGTAAGATAATTGTACTGCTGGGTATTTGGCCCCGGGAGTTGTGTGGGTGACCTACTAACATGAATCTACTTCCTTTCTCTCCATTTATTTTTAGATCCAATACTTTAAGAGTCATAAGTATGACAATTCCAAGGAAGAAAGACGTTACAATTTATAACAAACTGAATCAAATATTAAATCTAGCTCTCTTTTTTGTTGTCAAGTAAGAACATTTTCAATTTTTATTTTTAATTACTTAATACTTTTATTATTAAATACTTTTATTATTTAATACTTCATATTATTTCTTCTTTGTAAAGTGATGATGTATAATAACATATTCCAAAATATAAAACTCTTTTGATGTTTCATTATTTAAATAACGAACGATTTAATTAAATGACAAAAAAGAAGATTGCATTGAATTTAAGAAAAGAGAATAATTAATAAACATAAATTTGGCAAGCTTTATCAAAATTTAAACAAAGAATCAGAGGAGGCACTGGAGAGTATATGGACTTGTGTACATCTATACCGGTACACTTAAAATAGAAATTTAAAAAAAAATTGGAAGCTTAATCAAAGACATCACAAAACTACCGTCCAGCAACTTTAATTAATATATTGTCGATAAGAAAATACAATTTGAAAGAATTTAAATTTTCTCCGCAGATATCATATAAGAAAACAAAAAGAATATATATGTATTTTTTTCTTTATTTAAATCGTGTTTATATGTTTTAAACAAAAAAGACATAAAAATAAATAGAAAATAAAAATAGTTTCTTGAACAGAAATATCACTGTTTCCAGTGAAGAAGTCTTACAAAAAAATTTCCAAGAAAATGAAATTCGAATCTCCGAGGTTTTGACAAGCAATGAGACCCACTGGCAATTCATACTTAGGTTAAGAATGATGTTTTTAACAGATAAATGTATTGTGATTAGTTTGAACATTTTGCTGGCGGTATTGATGATAATACTTATATAGTTAGAAGAACTGTGTTTTATACCATCTCAGCATACAGTACTTGTTACATATGTGTTTCCATACATAACACATCAACAAACAGATAAGACAACCAGCAAATTTGCCTATGTATACACTACAAATAAACATTAATTTCATCTTATGCTAATTTTTTTTATAATATTTCTATACAATGATCGATATTGTTTATAAATATGATAACTATTTCAATTATACATTTTGCAAAATAAAATTAATAAAAATTTACTGTTTACTGTTTTATTTGTCTACATTAAATTATTGATTTAACAAAACAGAATTATTTTGAGATAAAGTAATAAGTACGTTTTACTGACATGTAAGATTTTTTTGTTACACTATTGCTATATTTCAATAACTAAAATATATATATATATATATATTAGGTTCTGGTTGAACAAAACGTTAAAATTATCATTCTACAAAATATTTCTTCATAATCATAACTAAACATTCAATAAAACAGAAATATGTCCCTTTATAATATTAAAACATAAAGGTACATGTAGTTTTTGTCCTTTACATCATATATCCTAAAATTACAAGCAGTATAATCATGATAATATTTAACGACAAAATTTCATTTTAAAACATACAGCATCTTTTGCTTTAAAATTAAGATGTTCAGTGTTCCATTTCTTTTTCGTTCACAGATGTATTTTGTCAATCAAGATGAAAATATTTCTTATTCCCTTGGCGTAGCTGCCGATATCTGATCAGAACGATAGTGACTCGCGTTTCCGTCGTTTGGTTTACACGCACGTGCACTAATTATGTACACCGTCTCCATTGATAAATAAGCCAATGTAAATCTTCATTTATTTAATATAAGCAAGTATCTAGACAAATTCTCAGATACGGGGGTTCGATGTAGGTTATCTGCTGACAAAACTTTTATATACACGGATCTTGTTTCTATTTTACGTGGAAGACAAATAATTTCATAAACAAGGATGAAGAGTGATAGTGGTACCGCCCGTTAGTTATAGGGGTTAGTAAAATGTCCCTCAGCTTTAATTGAACTCAAAGGTTAGATAGGGAGAGGTCTGATAAATATACACCTTAAGCAGACATAAAATTACAGAAGAAAGGTTTTTTAAGATTAAAATGTAGACACAAAATATGATAAAAGCCAATAGTTTTCCTTTCTTTTTTGTTTCTTTAAACTAGTATAAAAGTTTCTGTAAAATCAAATTATAAATAAATTTGAAATTTAGGTCGAAATAATTTTCATTGTATAAAATTCTTTTCTATGGGAGAAAAGGGACTCGGCATCGGTGATTTCTCAATATGAGTGAAGTATTCTCGAAGAGGAGTTAAACAAACGAAGAAACACCATCTTTTAATCAATCTATTTAAATTATTAAATAAACAGTGTATGCAATATGAATTATAATAAACATTTTTTGAAAAAAAAAATAGGCATAGCACAGGAGATTTTGGTTCAGAAAGCAGAATATTCATTTTGAAGAGTGTACAAATAGAAGGATGGGACTGCTTTAGAAATAAGGGGAAAAAAATCAATGCTGTATTCCTGTAACACAACACCATGCAAATTAAAAATTGTTTGTAAACTTCAATAATGTCTATACAACTTCAATAATGTCTATACAGTCATATAATAGACTGTGACTTAGGTATGGTTGATCAAGCTTTTGAATAGTATGTCATTTTTTTTCATACTTATAAATAGTTTTGATCACTTTATTTATGATATAACAGAAAATCAAAATGTAAACTTCTAGTCTTAATAGTTTTCGTTACCTCGTGGCATAAAGAAGTTACCTTCAGTCATACATAGTGTATTAGCAGCACAATGTAGAAGGAGTCTAAGTAGTTTAATAACAAAAATGAAACCAATGTATTTGAATGTAAGCACTAAACTGTCAGTGTTTGATGCATAGGTTGGTAGTATAGCATATTTATGGTCGCGAAGTTTGTTGGTTTCACCCAGCAGGAGAATTGGAGAGTATCCACTTAGATTTTTGTAAAAGAGTACTAGGTGTTAAAAAAAGCACTGCATCTATGATGGTTTATTTTGAATTAGGACAGAAACCATTTCAATAGAACAGAAAAGTTAGAATGCTGAAGTATATATTGGTTAATTTTTTTTTAAAAAGCGATAATTGTATTTTAAGAAACATATACACTGTATCAAGAAATGTTAGATTTGTGTGAATCAAACACTTTTCCTTGTTGGTTGTCACATATAAAAGAACTTGTTGATACATTAGGCTTTGGTTATACATGGAACTGTAAAAATTATCTAAATGAAAAACTTTTTTGTTTGTTTGAGGTGAAACAAAGATTGGATGAAATGTTCATACAAGAAGCATGAAGTTATTTTGAAGATCTCCTAAGTGCATTTTGTATAAGTATTTGAGTGATAGTTTTAATTTACCATTATTTTTAAAAAGATCAATATCACAAAAATATGTACAACATATCAGTCAATATCGTCTGTCTTCTTACCAACTAGAGATAGAACGAGGAAGATTTTTTAATATTCCTAGAACAGAAAGATTATGTAAATTTTGTTCAATGTCACAGATTGAAGACGAATATCATTTTATTCTGGTTTGTCCATTTTTTTCCCGATGTTAGAAAAGAGTATATTAAGAAATATTATCACCAAAAACCCTCTACCTTTAAACTTGTTCAATTTTTGTCGACAAAAATGTAACAGAGTTATGTAAACTGGGAAAATATCTTTATAAATGTACGGAATTGAGAGCAGAAGTTAATTGACATTGATATAACGAATTAATCCTCACTACTACTATTACCAACTTTATATTATGTTGCATTGTCTGCTTTATGGATTTAGAATGAATAGTTTGTAAGAATTTTTCTAGAATCCTGCTTTACTTAAAATTCAAATGATATTGAAATTGTTATACTGTACGATCTGACTTATGTATATACGTTAAACCTATGAACTGTATGGTTCTTGGTAATAAACAATACAATACCTTCGTAAAAAGAAATTCAAATTTGAGTTTTATCTTCTTTGTTTTATTTCATCAAATCCCTTACTTGATAATTGACACAAATAGTGTACTTTTGTTATAGTGATAAATAAAC